AGGTTCATCAGTTGCAACAAACGCATGAGTGTGGTGGGGCATGTTGATAGTAAGGGAGGCTGTGCATGTGCAGGCCCAGGAAGGATGTGGGAAATCTCTGTACCTTCCTCTCAATTCTTCTGTGAACCCAAAACTTCTCTTAAAAAATAGTCTTAAAACAAACAAACAAGCCAACCACTCATGAGAGACCTGAGGTCACAGAACAAATATGGCCCCAAATCTAAAAAGAGATAGTGATTCCAGGGAGAGAGGGCACACAAATATGTGCTTCTCCGGGGGGTAGATGCAACTGAACGTGAATCGGAAGAGCTCAGCTAGGATAGCTCAGAAGTTGGTTAAGGCTATGTGTGGGCTGGTGGAATAGAGTGGAACTGGGTGCTGCAGAAACTGAAGGGGTCTGCACCCTTTTTGTTGCTTTGCAACCTTGGGAGCTTCTCAGGTGAAATCAGAAATTGGTCCCCATACATGGAGAGCGAGGGGAGACTGAAGAAAGACACAGACCACTCTAGGTGGTAGGTGTCAGTCTTAATTAGTAAGAGAATTACATACAAGGCTTGTCTTGGGTAGTTGTAAGATAAGTAGATCTCTGCACCTGCCCGCCAGATTCTTAACGTTTATATAGAGGCCTTAATGGGGGATCTGTTGTGCATTCAGTCCAGATGGTCCCAATAACCCATTGCTCTCCTGGGCTACCCTAGAAATGGCTCCTAGTGTGGGAATGGTGGGAAGAACGTATGTTCCAAGGACAGGGGACTAGGTGAGGAGTCTCCAGTTGCCTTCTGTTCAGCTCTCAGGTCAACCAGTGATCACAGCCACTTGATGACCTCCTTCAGCACTTTTGCAGGCTCTTTCTCCATGAACTCCATTGAGCACTCACAGAATAGATCAGAATGAACCAAAGATCTTGAAGGGAGGGGCAGTAGCCCTGTAGGGAGAAGTAAGACCCCCCAGACAGACGAATGAAAACATCAATGTAGCAGGGGAAAGAGAAAACTGGCTGGTTCTGGTATGTTGGTCCTGCCCACTCATTATAGCTGAGGAAAGGGAGCAGGATGTGAGGGAAGTCTATTCTTGGGACAAGGGGCAGAATTAAGTGCAGCCCACAATCAGTGAACATCAAAAGACAAGTAACAGCAAAATGCTGCTGGGCAAGGGATGGGAAAGGAATAAGAATGTGCAGACAGAGCATTTTTTTTTAATGTTTATTTTTGAGAGAGATAGTGTGAGTGGGGGAGGGGCAGAGAGAATAGGACAAAAGATCCAAAGCGGGCTCCAAACTGACAGCAGCAGGCCCATCGTGGGGCTGGAACCCACAAACCATGATATTATGACCTGAGCCGAAGTCCATGCTCAACTTAGTGAGCCACCCAAGCACCGTGTTTTGTTTGTTTGTTTGTTTGTTTGTTTGTTTTCAGACAGAAGATTTTTGAGGAGCAGCTCAAGAGGAAGATCTAAAACTCAAACAAGCATTGCCCTGATACACATCCACCACCTTAGAAACAAACTATCTATAGGAATTTGAAACCTCTGATGCACTGAGTATCACCATTGCAAAAAGAAAAAAAGAAAGAGAAGGAAAGGGCAGGGAAGGGAAGGAAGAGAAAGAAAAAGAATTGGACAAAATTGGTGAATTACTAACTCAATTAATGCAAAGCCTTCCATTACAATTCTAGAAGAAGAAAAGGCATGCCCATATCCAGGTATATAAACTATTTACCCTGATTTCCACTGACCTACTCAACACATTTGGCTTTTTTTTTTTTTTTTAATTTTTTTTTCAACGTTTATTTATTTTTGGGACAGAGAGAGACAGAGCATGAACGGGGGAGGGGCAGAGAGAGAGGGAGACACAGAATCGGAAACAGGCTCCAGGCCCTGAGCCATCAGCCCAGAGCCCGACGCAGGGCTCGAACTCACGGACCGCGAGATCGTGACCTGGCCGAAGTCGGACGCTTAACTGACTGCGCCACCCAGGCGCCCCAACACATTTGGCTTTTAATAAAAAAAAAAAAAAAAATGAGACATACAAAAAGGCAAGAAAAAGCCAGTATACTACCACGTGACAGAGTAATCATCAGAAATAATTTTCAGCTTTACTATAAATTGCAAGTAATTAAGACAGAGTGGTATTGGTGAAAGGACAGATTTATAGATAAATGGAACAGAATAGAGAATCCAGAAATAGACCCACACAAATATAATCAACTGACTTTTAGCAAAGATGCAAAGGTAATTAAATGCAGAAACACTCATCTTTTCAACAAATCATGTTGAAACAACCCAAACCGTATGTAAACAAGGTGGGTGGGAGGGCTTCAATGCATATCTCACATCCTGTATAGAAACTAACTCAGTTATAAAGGTAAATGTTAATAGTAATTACTCATGCTAATATCACTGGCCCCTGATACGATGCGAAAAGGGCCATTAACTACGCGATATTCTTCCCCCAGATCCGTAACATTGATCTATTCGTGAGAAAACATCAGAAAGACCGATATTGAGACAGAGTTTACAAAATAGCTCACTAGGGATACTCTAAATCATCTTTTCGGTGGTTCTATAACTCTAAAGTTGTTTTAAAATTGAAAGTTAAGAAATAAAGAGAAACAGACGTGAAGTCATACACCATATCTCCCTTTGAGGATAAGGCTGAGGTAGAGTGAACCCAAAGTAGCAACCAGGGAAGCCCATCAAATTAGCATTTCAGTGATTTATACTTGATGCCATTAACTTTCCAATGTTTCCTAAACCTAGCTGGTGCCAGTGGGCCATTTCATTTTCTGTAAATAGGAACTCTGGTGGAAGAACTGGAGCTTCTGAAGGGGAAATGCAAGCTCCTTGCTAACTCATGTTCTGCTGCTTAAACCTTCAGCACTTAATTCCCACGATTTTTTTCCACTTCAAGTATTGCAGTGATGGGGTTCTGATTCTCCAGGTTTTGAGTCTCTTGACTTTGCCTCTGCTTTTCATTTCCCCAGATTTATGAGTTTGTGTGGCATTCACTTGGATCTGCCCTTCTGTCAAAGTGGCCATAACGGATGTGATCTCACAAAGGTAGGGCTGATCAGCGCCAATGTCACGCTCTAAGTCGTAGTCATACGTTTGCAGCCTGCAAAATGATGGAATGGAATAGACCCTGTTCACAGCGATGTTCCCTTCTTGGGAATTGCAACTGAGAAGACAGACCCTCACTGGCCATGTCTCTACACCAGTGCCAATCTAGGACAACCAGAGTGTCTATTCCAAAGAGTTTGAAATTTTGAGCTGAAAGATACAGAAATGAAAGACTAGTAGAAAGTGTAGGAACTTCTGCCCCTAAAGTTGCCAGAGTTATTTTAATTCTGTTATTTCTCTGTGGTTTGGATACAGCCTATATTAGTTTTCTGTAGCTGTTGTGGCAAATTAGTACACACTGAGTGGCTAAAAAACATGAATTCGTTCCTTAATAGACATTAATAATACTTCTCTCATAGTTCTGGAGGCCAGAAGTCCAAAATCAAGTTGTCAGCAGTATTATACTCCCTATGGAGGCTGTAGGGGAGAATTTCTTCCTTGCCTTCCCTAGGCAAGGTTTATGGCTCCATTACTCCCATCTCTGCCTCTGTCTGCACATCATCTTCTTCCGTGTCTTTCCCCCTTTATGTGTGTCTTATAGAGATACTTGCCATTGGATTTAGGGCCCACCGGGATTATTTCCTCATCTCAAGATCCTTAACTTAATTACCTCAACAAAGACCCTTTTTCTAAATAAAGTCACATTCACAGGTTCTGGGGGTTCTGATGTGAATGTATTTTGGGGGGGCTACCATCATTGAATCCAATACCCCACCCTTCCAATTACTTCCTCAAACTAAGCAGTGCCCGTTTCCATCACTTGCAACCAAAAAAAAAATTAGTTTAGGGTCTCTCGATGCTAGCCATGACAGTTGTAAGTGGTTTGTACCACCTGTATACTAAGCTTGACTTCAGAAATTCTGCAATTTCAATGTAGTGTTACCTTGGAACTTACTGAAAGTGCAAGTTTCTGCCTTCCACCCCAGTTTCTCAATAAATTGGTCCAGGAATCTGCATTTTAACAATTCTCAGGTGGTCCAATGAGAAAAGAACAGGAAAAATTACGAAGGCTCAGACCCTTTAACGTCCAATTCAAATAAAAGCAAAAGGAAAAGCAATGAAAAATAACTTGAAAACTTTAATGATATTGTTTATATAGTAAAAACATAAAATCTTTTAAATAAGGTACATTCAATTTCTCAGAGCATCTAATATTCAGATAATTTATATTTCATATACTTTCCAACATTAAACAATTGACTAGGTAATGCATTTTCTAAAAAATGATATTACAACTTATATAAGTAAAAGTACATTACAAAAATACTCCACACAGGAAGGATGGCAGTACTTATTAAGAAATGCTATAAACTTTCCATTAAAAAATATATTTTATCTCTCATTTGTCATAATTATAAACAGAATATATATTTTCCTTTCTAAAATTGTCTTACACAGTTTCCCCTTAGGATGATAGTATGTACAAACCTTATATCTGAATGAATATAAATAGAAATACTGTAATAGTGTTACAGATATATTAGTAACTTTTACAGAAAAAAATATGGCTTTCTAATAAAAGCCTCTAGCACAGCTGAAATCTCAAAGCTATTTAAGTTAGACATTCCCATATTTAGTAAGGCACAATGGAATCTAGTTTCTTATTTCCAGTTGAATTACTGCGAGCAGTAATAAGGGAAAATATAGTCAGTAGATAGTGGACCAGATCTATCAGTTGGATAAACCATTTGGGGTTTACTGAACTTTTGGGGGAGATGTTAGTTCTTTCTCCACACCATTGTTTCTTTTTGTGCCCTGTGGCCAAATCTAGTCCTTGGTGATGAGAAAGAAATCATTGCACCCCCGTCAAGTGCCTGAGAAACAGTTTACTCATTCCTTGGATCTGGTCTATTGTGAGGAAATAGCCCAGTGACCATTTCCGGTTATAAGCAGCTTATTTTTACTGATTGGACCTGGTTCCCTATCATTTCTAAAAATAGCTTCTGATATAATCTGTACATGGTGAAGCTGTGAAGGAACCTGATGGTCTTCTTCAGGCTCTGAGTGACCGTTTTGGGGAAGTGGTACGTTTTCAAGTGCTTCAGGGCGTGCATCAGGGCCTTCAGGGTGTCTTGGTCGCCATTTTTTATTCTCCACAGGCTGAGCAGCTTTAGAATCTGCTCACTTGATTTGCATGTCTTCACTGTCTTCTCAATGTCTTCTGTGGTGACTTTCTTCCCCGGCAAGCTTTCCATCAAGCTGCGAAGCTGCTCGAAGGTGAGGTTTGTGTGTCCGAGGTGCCGCTGGACGCTGTTTTCACATAGGTCAATATCTGTAGAAAGCCAAAGCCCAAAGAGACGTTCACATAATGCATACTCCAAGGCCACCACCACAAAACTACTGTGAGGCAAAAGAAGGTTCTCCCAGAATTTCATAAATTTACTTTAAGGATAACCTTCTCCTTCCTTTTTATGGTGGCAAAGGAAGGTTAAGTAATGCTAGTTATTGGTGAGAAATGAGTTAAATATTATTTCTTGTTATAAATGATAATATGCTTTATGTATTCTAGGCATCCGACAAAGCTTTGTGAAAAGCCCTAATTTTGGAAATGAACAGTAAAATACTATAAATGCATCACTCTCTGTTTTCTAAGAAAAATTAAAACCATAACATTTCAGAAAAGTAGAAATATAAGTATTCAAGTTAGCAATTTTGTAATATAAACTTTCACTAGTTGATATTTGATATGTACTAGTTGATATTTGAAGAGTTAGGTGTGACGAATGGTCTTTAAAATAAATAGCACCTGAGGATTACTACAGAGAAGATCTGAAAACCCACTAATATGAGGACAAAGAATGGTAGGATGCATATGGCCTAGAGAATAATTTGGTAACGAGCTAGGACATAAACCTAAGAGGGAGTATCTAACATTTCCATTAATGACATGAGTCATTTACTGTCTGTAAGCCCTAAGGCAAGTCAGTTCATCTTTTGGGGATGAAATGTCCTTATTTATGAAACAGAATGTGGCCCCTTCCAATTCTAACAGTCTCTGATTCTGTATCCCACCCGCTCACCGCCCCCCCCCCCTTTTTTTTCCTGCTTCGGGGCTAATTATACTTTCAAAGAATACATTTTGTTTGCCAAAAACAGAAGAAAACTTTACTCTTTGCTCAAGTGAAAGCATTCAGCTGTCAAAGATCTCAGTGTCCTAAAATCTGCTGCCTCAGTTTCAGATGGTGGAAGCTTTTCAGGAAGTGTAGGACTCCACAGTCATCTAACTAGTGACAGGTAAAGAGCAGATGGGCTTCTCACTGACATCGTCTGCATCAAGAAAACCTTCTTCCTTCTTTCAGGCATGCCTTCCCAATGCTAACTGAAGTCAGAACTCTTTCCACTGTGTATCCTAAAGCTTATAGTCCACACTGCATGCAGCTTCCTTTTCCCCTTTGGATTCTGTCCACACAAACACACACACACACACACACACACACAAACACCCCATGCAATTTCTCTTATTTTCTTTCTTTCTTTTTTTTTTATTCGTTTATTTTGAAAGAGAGAGTGTGTGTGCGGAAGGGGCGGAGAGAGGGAGAAAGAGAATCCCAAGCAGGCTTTGCACCATCAGCGCAGAGCCTGACGTGGGGCTCAAACACATGAACTGTGAGATCATGACCCAAGCCGAAGTTGGACGCTTAACTGACGGAGCCACCCAGGTGCCCACACGCAGTTTATAAAGAAGATTCTTTATAAAACTTTAAAACATGAGAGCACTTGGTTTTCACCAGCCCTTTTCTCTAAGAAGCCCGAACATTTTACAGACCTCATCTCATTAATCCTCACAACATATGCTATTAAAATGGTAATTTTAAAATAGGCTATGTTGTGAGGATTAATGAGAGGACATCTGTAAGACACTTGGAGGCTCTCTGGAGATAATTAACAAATAAATACAGCATAGCTTCTTGGTGGAAATGAAAGAGAAAATCCAACGTGTCTAAAGGACATCCAGGTAGGACAGAGGGGATGCTAATAAGACTGCTAAGGGATGTGGAGGTGCGATTCCTGAGGTCCAGTATTTGACATGAACTGTCTCTCACTTTAGAGTGTTCATACACTTAAAAAAGAAGTTGAGGTATGAAAAAAGAGGGGTGCCTGGGTGGATCAGTCGGATAAGCATCCAAGTCTTGATTTGGGTTCAGGTCACCATCTCGCAGTTTGTGAGTTTGAGCCCCACGTGGGGCTCTGCACTGCCAGTGAGAAAAGATCCTCTTGGGATTCTCTCTCTCTTCCTCTCTTTCTACCCCTTCCCTGTTCTCACTCGCTCTGGCTCTCTCAAAATAAAGAAGCTGAAAAACAAAAAAAGTTGGGGTGTTGAGGAGGTGAGAATGCAGGACTGTTTTAGGGATAGCTTCTACATGATCACTTAGTGAAAACATCTTTAATCCAAGAATAATTCCAAAAGGCAAACACCATCCACACGACTAAACATGTACATTGTCGTCTTCTTGTTTATGATAAATGAGTGTCTTTGATTTCTGATCAATCTGCTTATTTCAGGCTACCCTACCTTGGAAGATCTTCTTGACCATATCTTGATCTTTGTTTTGATGTTTCCATAACTTCAGTAGCTGGAAAGTTTGTTCTTGTGAACTGTATTGCCGCTTTATCTTTTCCACACTCTCCGCATTTACCCTGGTGCCAGGCAAATTGTCTACCAGGAGGCTAAGCCAGTTAGGGGTGAATTTTGTAGGAACAGCAAACCTGAAGAATGCCTCCTCGCACAGGGTGACATCTAAAGGTGGGAAAACCAAGATTTACTTAACAACTGGATTCTTGGAAGTCTAGTGGACAATAAATAAATAAGCCAGCACCATAAGGTTTTTCAAAATACAGTATGTTAAAATGTGAAATTTGAATAAAATCAACCCTCTGTTGGCTGGTCTTGGTAGCTGAATGTCAACCCAAATGGGCTTATGTCCTTAGGGCATTTGTGGGGGATAGTTTAAACAAATGTCTAATAAAAATATTGCTATGAATGAATTGTAGCAAACATTCTAATGTACACATTAACATTAAAAAAAATTTTTTTAGTGTTTTTTATTTATTCTGGAGAGAAAGAGAGAGACAGAGCACAAGCAGGGAAGGGGCAGAGAGAGAGGGAGACACAGAATCTGAAGCAGGCTCCAGGCTCTGAGCTGTCAGCACAGAGCCCGACAAGGGCTAGAACTCAGGAACCATGAGACCGTGACCTGAGCTGAAGTCAGACACTTAACTGACTGAGCCACCCAGGTGCCCCACATTAACATATTTTAATGTAGATCTTAAATATCCTATTAAAGGTTTAGTTGGCATCCACAGGTTACTTCAAGATCAATGTCAAAACAAATATAATTACTGTCTTTACGGGACCTGGAAAAGCAATCTGGAGTAGTATTTTGTTTTCTACACACACATAAACACATAGTTTACCTTTAAGAATAAGGAGGGATATAGATGTATAAGCATATATTCCATGGGAAAATAAGAAAACACAAAAAATATGTTGTTTAGAAAAGAGGTACCATGGGGG